TATAAAATTTAATGCGTGTTTACCCTTTAAAGAAGATCTCCATTTCGTTTTAAAATATGCTGTTTCCTACATTTTTAAATATTTTTTTTGTTTTTTTTAGAAGAGCATATCATTACAGCTTTAACATGCCCAATAACAGTTTTCAGAGCAAAGACACAGCTCCTTCAAAAGTGGCTATAAAATTTCTAGGTTCGCTGTTGAATCAATACAGTTATACAATATTGAACTCAGTATAAGCCCTGTAAGACATAAATTGAATGAGTTTTTAACCCTCAAAAAAGATCTCCAGATCTGGGGAATGTGAGAAGGAACTGGGTTGGTCTGGGTGCAAAGGATCAGGAAGCAATGGTGGTTTCCCCGGTGTCTGGGGCGCCAAGACAAGGAATGGGACAGAACCCAGGCTAGGAGGAGAGGCCAGCTGGGGAGATGGGAGGGTCAGTGAGGCTGGGGGAGTCAAGGTGTGGAGGGCACAATGAGGCCAGTGGGTTGTGCAGGCCCAGGGAAGCAGAGAGAAGTCCCCACTCCTGTCTTTACCTGCAGAGTGCTGGGATTACAGACACAAGCCACAACTCTAAGTTTAGATTAGGGATTCTTGAAGGTAGGAAGGAACTGTGTTTCCCATCTATATCTCCAATTCCTGGTATAGCTCTTGGCATACAGTGGGCACACAAAAGTTTGATTAACAGAACATATCCAGTTAGAAAGCAGTGCCTAAACTTCATGTCGGCTACATAGGTAGCTGTGCTGTCTACATCCCTAAGGTATGGAGAGGCAGCAGTTCTGCATTTCCACCCCATTCCTGGAGTCTGTGATAGTGGAGTGTGTGATGGCACCTATGAAACTTCTAATTCCCACCCTTCTAAAACCTTTTTCAAGTTGTGGTTTATTCACATTAGAGTTTGATGCTCAGAATTTCTAACTTTAAAGTGTTTACTTATTTTCTGGAAATTTTCAGTTCATTTAGGTGTTCTTTCAGTTAGTGGCTCAGGGTTTAGTGTCATGGCCAAGACTACCCACTAGTGAGTGGAGGGAGCCCTCTGGGCGCCACTTAATACGATGGCTGAGCTGAAATTACATCTATATGGTTCTAGGTTTTGATTTTAGTTTCAGTCCACGTACCTGTGGTTTTGTCTGATTTTGTTTTGTTGTAGCAGCAGTCTGTAGATAGGAAGAAAAAAAATGTAGAAGGCATAAGCCTTTCTCTATCCAAACCCTGCTTTTATTCCAGAAAGAATTTGAGAGTTCTTAAAGAAACATACAGAAAGACTGGAGGTGTAGCTTCATGATAGAGGGCTGGCCTAGCGTGTGCGAGGCCCTGGATTTGATACCTAGTGCTAGGAAAATAAAGTCAACATATACAGTATATTAAGGTTAAAAGTAATAAAGGGCTTTGGAAGAAGAGTAAAGATAGGAGAATCAAGACACGTGGCATGAAGCCTTTTGCGTAGAGAAAGAAGTGATCCAAAAATTGACATAGAGCTTTCCAGCAGCCTATGCAAAAAGGAAATCGGGTGTATGTCCCATGTCAGCTGGCCAGCTAGCTGCTCAGAAGTACAACCTTTGTGTGTGTGTTGTCTAAAGAGAATACTGACATATAGTAAACTCTTATCTTCAGTAAGTCTCTTTCATAGGTAAGGTAGTTTCTTATAACTGTTGGCATCTTGGCCTTGTGAGTAGTTGGGACTAAATAAGTCTAACTTGTCAACTATCCAGTTTCCTTTGTCCATCGTACTGCAGTTTTTGGTGACCAGCTGTTTTACAATACCAGTGAAATCTGAAGTAGAATTAGTTTTTTAAAAAATATTTTATTTATATTTTTTATTTTATGAGTGTATTGCCTGCATGTGTGTAAGTGCACCCATGTTGTACCGTGCTCACAGAGGTCAGAAGAGGGTGTCAGATCCCCTGGAACTGGAGTTATGGACGGTGGTTAGCCACCATGTGGGTGCTGGGAATCGAATCCAGGTCCTCTGGAAGAGCAGCAGTCAGTGCTCTTAACTGCTGAGCCATCTCTCGAGCCCAGAATTTCTTTTATAATGGGGAAATGAAGATTGAGGCTTAGAATGAGCTATATAGCTTAAAATTTTCTACATTTGGTTTAGAGCTTGCTTTGTGCATTAATTGACAGCTAATATATGTCAGGTACTGTGCTAAACTTTGGGATGCAAACCTAAATAGAGGTCTCTGTTTAAGCACTCTCGGTCGTAATGTAACAGCACAGTAAGTGCTGTTTCAGAATGAAGGGCTGGCTATTATAACAACATGGGAGATAGAAAAGACTTCATAGAAAGATAATAATTACAATAGCCAACTCTTTAGATTCCAAACAAATTCGAAAAGTTAGACAATACAGAAAATTATGTTCCATTGTGAAATGATTCCATTCATCTTTGTAGATTTAAGGTCTGCATAAGCATGTCTTTTTCTAAAGAAAACACTGTGACATATAGTATTAAACACAGATACTCAATTTTTTTTTTTTTTTTTTTTGAGACAGGGTTTCCCTGTAGCCCCAGCTGGCCTGGACTCACTATGTTGACCAGGCTGGCCTCAAGAACTCACAGAGATCCACCTGCCTCTGCCTCCCAAGTGCTGGGATTAAAGGCGTGCACCACCACTCTCGGCCTCAAATTACATTCTTAAAAATAAATCAGATATTCAGAAAGAGGTACTAGGTTGTAGAAGGACAAGAGGAGTAACTATCAAGAATAGAAGTATTAAGATGGAAACAGCATGTTCTGATTATGCAGTTGTGGGAGGATAAGCCAGTTCTAGTTAGGATAACAGTTGAGGTACTCCCAAATCAAGTAATCTCAAAGAAGGGAAGCAGATGATGCTTAGAACAAATTTCTACTCGAAAGAAACAAAAGTAAAGTAAACCTGGATGGAAATTCCTTCCCAAATAAAATTTGTTGACTCCAAAGAAATGGGAATAAAATCTAAATATTGCCCTTGTGACCCCTCTCTCTCTCACTTCTTCTCCCTCCCCTTCCCCCTCCCCCGTCTCATATAGCACAGGCTGGCCTCAAATTTACTGTGCAATGGAGGATGACTTTGAACTTCTGGTTCTCCTGTCCCTACCTCTTAGGGATCATAGACACAGACCACCACACCTGATTTATGTGGTGCTGGGGATTGAACCCAGTGCTTTGTACATTTCAGAAAAGCCCTCTACCAACTGAGCTACTTCCCCAACCCCTTGTGACTTTCTGAGTATGTCTTCCATGGTTAGTGTAAGAGAGGTCACTAGGAAGTGGCTGTGTCTTTACATTGTAACTCTTAATACCTTTCTACATCAGGTATCAGGGACAGGAAAAAAGATGTCAGACATAAGGAGATAAGAATAGAGTTCTAACTATAGAGTTAGACTCTAGGCTGGTAAAAGAAAAGAAAGAAAATGAAGACTATTATAAGTAAACCAAAGGACCAACGTGAAAACATTAGGGTGTGTCCGCATTTAGGAGTTCACTAGGAGGAGGAAGAAACATTAGACAGGTAGGAGAACCATAAAGACAGAGATGATCCAGTGAGCCCACAGAGCTAGGGTAGAGGTCAAGTTATCAGAAAAGAGCCTGTGGACCAGGGAGATTGCCCTTACAGTAGCAAAGGGGCTGGAAGCCAGATTGAGGGGAGGAAAAGTGATTGGCAAGGAAGTAAAAGAGGCATCTTAGATTTAGATTGTTCTTGAGTTTAAGAAGTGAAAGAGGGAAAATAGAACAGTTAAGAGTGGCTGGAGGGATCAAGCAAAGTCTCAGAAGTCCTGTGAAAGGCTTGTGTAGGTTGTCTGGAAACAGTTTAGTGGTATAGGAAGGTTGAAGACTGCAGAACCAGCGATTGGTTGAGAGGTGGTTCAAAGGTCTGATTTCCAGGGAGATTATTGAAATGAAAACTCCTCAGACACTGGCTGCCATCTCTGCCAAAAACACTTTCTTTGATTAAGGCCATGGTAAGTTCATGTGGTCTGTCAGTCTTCTGCTGGGGCAGCTGGTCAGAGGACCTTCACAAGACTGACTTTTGTTTTGTTTTTTTAAATAGCCAACAACAGCGATATACAGTCTGCCTAACAAGAACCAAGGTTTGTTTTACATTTGGGATATATAAAGGTACACTATAGGGCTGGAGAGATGGCTCAGCAGTTAAGAGCAGTGGCTGCTCTTGCAGAGGACCCAGGTCCAGTTCCCAGCACCCACTGTAACTCCAGTTCCAGGGGATCCAATGCCCTCTTCTGACCTCTGAGGGCATTGCATGACACAAGTGCACCTACCTGCATGCAAACAATACATTCGTACACATAAAATTTAAAATTAAGTAAAAAATTAATAGAGTATACTCTAGGAGTTGGACTATTAATATATTGAGTCAGAGTGAAAGAAATTTAAGTCATAGGTGAATTTTTTTATAACATAGAAGGTAATATTGAACAGAATTAAAGGGCTTTTAACTTAAAATTGCTTTATTCAGAGTTCAGAATGTGTGTGTGAGTCTCCCAGAATTAACTACATTTGCAAGTCTTGACACTCCCAGATTCTCAGGTTGCTCAGCTCATTCATGACACTTAAACAGTCCAGGGCCCAGATCAGGGAATGGTACCACCCACAGTGGCATGCCAACAGGCAAAAATAATGTAGACTGTCCTCATTGAGAATTCCCAGGTGATTCTAAACTCAAGTTGACAAAACTAACCATAGCCACTCTTTTCATAATTTCACTCTGTTTTACTCTCTATAAGCAGCTAGATTTAGATTCAAAACAGTAAACCTATATCTAGTACTTGGTTTTTTTTTTCTGATACATGAAACTATTTTCTTCTTATTTAAAAATATTGATTTACTTTTAGACTTTGGATACGAAAGACCTTACAATAGAAAAAGTGGTGATCAATGGACAAGAAGTCAAATATACTCTTGGAGAAAAACAAAGTTACAAAGGATCACCGATGGAAATCTCCCTTCCTATCGCTCTGAGCAAGTATGATTACGACCTTCTTTCTCTTTTGTAGCTGAACAGTGGGAAAATAAATGTTAAAACAATCCAGACATCTTTCCTGTATTTTATGTTTGTTTATAGAAAGTGTTTGGCACCTCAGTCCTGTAGTCTGTTCACATTGAGGTTTGCAGTGAAAATTATGTTCTTAAAATATTACAGAAATGCTGTATATGAAACACTCAAGAATCAGGCATTGGTTAACTGTGGTATCTTTGGTTGCCCATCAGTTCAGTGATGTCTGGGGAGCATGCCATCATAAGGAGGTATTTCATGATGACTTGGGGAGCTTTGCAAGCACCAGTCTTCTTCACCTTTGCCCCAGAGGCTAGTTGCCTCATAATGTAAACGTACCAGTCTTGGTGTAAGTTCTTTAGTCCTTCTAGTAACCCCATGTCATATGATCTGAACTTATAGATGAGGAAGGGAATCTCAGAGAAATAGTTACTTATTTAAGAAAATGGCAGCCAGATCATCAGATCAGGAGTATATCTTTCCCGTAGATGGGGAAGGGGTAAAGGAGTGGAAACCATTGGCCCGGAACAAGGGTGATCTACTCCCATCATCCAGTCTCTTCATGCCTTCTTGTGCCCTTCAAGAATGAGAAAGAAAACACTCAAGCATAACTTAGGAGAGTCATTGACTCCATTCTATGAAGAAACAGTGCTATGGTCATGTCAGGTCATCACCCAGGTTCACCTGCAAGTGGTAGCGTCAGACTTTAAATCCGAAATGGGCCACCTCTCCCAAGCTCTTGCTCCTTCCCCATCATCAGTGCTTCTGAAACTAGTCAGAGTGAAGGATCAGTTTTTGTTTCCTCCAGTCTGCCACAGAATGATGCTAATTAAGTGCAAGAAGCATGAATTATGAGGGAGAAGAGTTTTTTTTATTATTAGATTCAACAGGTAGAAAAATGATCCTGTAGGTTTCTTTCTCTGTCTTGACTTGCCATGCTATAGAGCAGTGAGTGTGCAGGTCAGCACCACTCTGTGTCACGCCTGCAATAGTTGGAATTCCAAACTTATTTTTTCTACATCCCCACTCTCATAAAAGACAAAAGGATGTCACAGATGCAGAGTACCTGACACACTGTGAGGCAGCAGCTAATACAAGTTCCCGTTTGAAGAGACCCACACACTGACATTCAGGCAGGAAAATGAAGAGTCAGATTCTGCATCAGAAATGAGTCCTTGTATGATACTCCTTAAATACGCACTGTATGTATTATGAATTCAAATTTGGTGAAGCATATTTATACTTTACCAATATATTTATTTGTTTCATGCAGAAATCAAGAGGTTGTGATAGAAATTTCTTTTGAGACCTCTCCAAAGTCTTCTGCTCTGCAGTGGCTCACTCCTGAACAGACTTCTGGGAAGCAGCACCCCTATCTCTTCAGTCAGTGCCAGGTAAAAAGGATGCCTGGTGATTTATAGACAGTTCCCAGCCACCGCAGGGCTTATTATGAGTATGTGGGTCTTATGTAGCACTGTTTTATATTTTATAAAAAGTACATATATTTTCATTTATATTTTGCTATTAATACATTCGTGTTTTTTTTTTTTTTTAAGATAAGCTTTCTGTGATTTGGAACCAACCTACCTAAATTGAAGTACTTAGTACTGACTTACACTGACTTAAATATCTTACTTAAGCTGACTCCCCATGTACCTAGAATACAACTTGCCATTGCATGAGGACTCAATGAATATCTCTGAAATGCAAGGAAAAATTAATAAACAGAAGTAATGTTAATGTTTATAAAAATGCTGAAAGTAAAAAAGTGGAAAGTGAATTCCGAATTATATAGATATATTAAATGCACTTTTATTTTTATTTATTTTTTATTTTTTCATATTTTATTATTATTTTTTTATGTGTATGAGTGTATTGCATATATGTATGTAAGGACACCCATGTTGTGCAGTGCCTGCAGAGTTCAGAAGAGGGCATTAGATTCCCTGGAACTGAATGGGACTCCTGTCCTCTGCAAGAGTAGCCAGTGTTCTTAACTCCTCAACCATTCCTCTAGCCCCCTAAAAGCACTTTTTTTTTCTTTTTTTTTTTTCTTTTTTTTGTCTTTTTGAGACAGAGTCTCCCTGTAGCCCCAGTTGACCTGGAACTCACAGAGATCTGCCTGCCTCTGCCTCCCAAGTGCTAGGATTAAAGGCATGTACCACCATGCCTGGCCCCTATATGAAGTTTTAAACCAACATGATTTAAAATACTTCTTTCCATTTTAAAACAAAGGATTTAAAAAAAAAACAAAACACACAATTAGAGACAGTCTGTTACAAGAATAACTATCAAAATGTTATCTGAAAGAAAAAGTCCTAATTATATTAATAATCAAATCACTAGTGGTTAAAGGAGGTCATCTACTAAGTATTTACTGTAGGTTCAGGCACTGGGTAAGGAACCTTGTATGTTTAACCATCCTGCTATCTGTAAGCCAGCATGTTAGGTTCAAATTCAAAATATACAAAGGGGCTGGAGAGATGGCTCACCGGTTAAGAACACTGGTTATTCTTGCAGAAGACCTGGGTTTGAATCCCAGCACCCTCATGGCAGCTAACAGCTGTCCATAACCCCAGTTCCAGAGGATCCGACAGCCACTTCTGTTCTCCACGGGCATTGCACAACACTGGTGCACTTACCTACATACAAGCAATGCACACATACACATAAAATAAAAATAAAATATTTTTCAAAAAACAAAGTATACAAAGTAACAAAGCATAATTTAGATACTTTTACTTTGCATGACACTACTTAAAATATCTTCTTTTTAATCTAAGAAAATTACATGAAAGAGGGAGGGATGTAGCTCAGTTGAAGCCTTGGATTCCACCTCTAGCACCATATGAACTGGATGTGCTGATGCATGCTTATAATCCCAGCACTCGGTAGGTAAAGGTAGAGGCCGGAGGATCAGAAGGTCAGAGTCATCCTTGATAGCATAGCTAGTTGAAACTAGACTGGGCTACATGAGACCTCCTCCCAAAAAAAAAGAAAAAAAGGAAAACCAAGCAAACAAACAAGAAACAGAAAATTACATGAAAGTGATAAAGTGTTCTAGGCAATAATATATGAATTGTATATCCTGTATCTCTTAGTAAAAGCTGATTTTCAGTATTTCTCATAGAATGACCATAAGGCAAAGTTAAAAAGAGACTTGTGAGTCATGAGAATATAAATTTTAAATATATTCAAGGTTTTTGGAAATAGTGTTTAAAATACAGGACAGAAATTTCAAGTCAATTAAGAAATTGTTGCAGCTGTCTGGAAATCTGAAGATTTGATTTTATTTGCTGCGTTGCTTACAGTTGTCTACACGTATTTCTTGCCCAAATTTTATCTTATCTGGTGAAGTACATATAGAAATGCTTTGGCATTTCCAAATCACTATCTACGGCCCAGTAAGGAGCCCCAGCGACATGGTCTGGGCCCAGCTTTAGGAGAGCGCCAGGTGCTTCATGTCTGCCCTCATCCATCTCAGGATTGTGTTTTTGAGGGATCTGCTGGGTCTGAAATGAGAAGAAAAGACTCTGTTTTTGGATTTTAGTTCTAATTAGCATATGAAGTATTAGATTTATATAATGATAATATTTCCACACAACGTTTTAGTAGAACCTGGGGTTTTTAATTTTAAAATTTTTGAAATTATCACTCAAATTATTCTGTTTGATGCCTTTATGGCATTTTCAAACAAAGTATATTTTAGTAGCATCTGGGGATTTTAAGGAAGCCTAGGATTTTAACAGCTTTAGAGAGAGGTGTTATTATTAATACACCCTGACTGATGGGGGGTGGAGAGATTCAGTGTAATATAAGAATTATGACTAGATGGGTTGGGGAGATAATGTTCTCTCCCCCCCCCCTTTTTTATATGCTTTCAGACTCTGCTGTAAGATTGAAATATCAAGACTAATATTTCTCAAGTTGTTTTCTTGAAAACACTGGCATCCTGTTAGATGTTAGCTAACTACATTAAATAAAGTATGAGGACTTAGTTTTAAAATAAGTATGAGGAATCGGTTTTTTTACATTTATTTATTTACTTATTTGCTTATTTATTTAGTGTTTGGGCATGCATATACCATGGCACATATGTGGAGGTCAGGGAACAAGAAGACAGGGGTGTGGTATACCATGGTTCACAGACTTATTTCAGTATAGACCTTTTCCCTCAGGGCTCCTAAGAGCCTTTCATTGGGCACAGCTGTTAGTAATGCTTTGCAGTTTACATCATGCTTCTACTGAATTTTGAAGGTTCACCAGAAATAGAGAAATCTAATGTGTATGTATTTGTGTACATGTGGGTGGGTGTGCACATGTGTACATGTGTGTGGAAGCCAGAGGTCAACATTGGGTGTCTTCCTTAGTCTCTTTCCATCTTCAGTTTTTTAGACAGGGTCTCTCATTGAGTCTGGAACTCACCAGTTGACTAGACTGGCTGGCCAGTGAGGCTGAGGGATCTTCCTGTCTCCACTCCCCAGATCTGGGATTATAGGCATATATATAAATCACTCCTGGATTTTTTTTTTTTTTTTTTTTTAGCATGGGTGCTGGGGATCCAAACTCAGATCTTCATGCTTGGACAGCAAGCTGTTTACCTACTGAGCCAGCTCCCTAGCCCCCAAATCTGACTTTAAAAAAATAATTTATTATTTTTATTTTATGTGCCTGAGTATATTACCTACATGTGTGTAAGTGCACTTGTATCATTCAGTGCCTGCAGAGATCAGAAGAGGGTGTCAGATCCCCTGGAACTGGAGTTATGAACAGTTGTTACCTGCCATGTGGGTGCTGGGAACTGAACCTAAGTCCTCTGCAAGAGTAGCCAGTGCTCTTAACCACTGAGCTCTCTCTCCAGCCCTCCCAAATTTGACTTTTTAAAAAAAGACATGTATTTATTTATCTTATGTGTATGTGTGTTGCCTGTATGAATTTATGTACACCAAATGCATGCAAATATGTATGAGTCCTTGGAGGCCAGAAAAGGGTGTCAGATTTCCTGAAACTGGAATTACAGGAGGTTGTGAGCTACCATGTGGGTTCTGCAAACTTAACCCAGGTCCTATATAAGAGCAGTACGCTCTCTTAACTGCTAAACCATCTCTCTAGCCCCAAATCTGATTTTTTTTTTCAAATCCACAGTTGTATTTTTTGTTACTCTAAAAGCACCTAAGAAATGAGAAAACATATTTTTATCTTTAAAAAGAGTGTATGTAAGAACAATGCTCTGGTTTCAATCATTTCTTTACAGCTTGATTTGTGAGAAAGGACAGTTAACTATTTCTTTTTCTTTCTCTCCCTCTAGGCCATCCACTGCAGAGCAGTTCTTCCTTGCCAAGACACCCCTTCTGTAAAATTGACCTACACTGCAGAGGTGAGTGCCACATACCGTGGGCTGAATTAAATGATAAGTAAATGTGGTACAGATGATAACCGGAGGTGACAACCCAATTTCAGAGCTAGAAATACTTTACTTAATGAAGCACTACCTGGGCCTACAGATTTCATTTTGAACCTCTGATTAAAGGTGGTTTTACACTCTCTTAAGTATGAGGAAGGAAATTGTTGCTATTCTCATTTTTTAAAAAAATAATTAAAATTCTAGATCTAAAGATAAAAATTTAAGAGCATTTTAGGCCGGTGTGGTGGTGCATGCCTTTAGTCCCAGCACTCAGGAGGCAGAGGCAGGCGGATCTCTGTGAGATCAAGGCCAGCCTGGTCTACATATGAAGTGCCAGGCCAGCTGGGGCTACAGGGATACCCTGTCTCAAAAAGACCAAAAAATCCAAAATGATAATAATAATTGAAGAGCATTTTTCTTAATTTTAAATAATTGACATTTTCGGTATTAAAGGTCCAGTAAGTGCATACTGTGGCCATGACATGTCTGTCTAGAGTCCTAATCAGCCTGTTACAGGCTTGTCTGTATGTGTGTGCAGTTTCCTCCTGTCACTGGTACTGCTAATCCTTTTGGGAGAGGGGGATGGACTATAATTAACAAACACCATTCCAGAGTCTAGATCAATTTAGACCAAGAAAACACAATAAATGCCAACATTTACTTATGGCACTTCTTCATTCCTCAGCCATCCCGTAACCCATCCACACTGAGTATAGCACTGTAAATATTATCCTGGTGGCAGAGAACCTCTGGGTTCTGGATGCTTCTCTACCACTTAATAATTGTGTGGCCTAGAGCAAGTCTTCATGACCTCACAGGCTCAGTTAGTTACAGGCTTGTCACTGCCTGTCAGTGTCTGAGTGTCACAGTTGTTTCTTTCCTCGACTGATTGTGGCACTGGCTTGAGAGCTCTTCATTCTGTGCCATCTCAGTTATAGTTGAGAGGCTCAAGCCAAGCAAGAAGAGTATGAAGGTCAAGCATGAGCTAGGACACACACATAAGTGACCCTCTGTTTTGTCCCATAAGGATCTTTTCCCTAACAAATTTCCAGAGAAAATCATTTCATGGTCTTGGCTGCTGTTGCCAGGCACAGTGCTGGTCTCTTCATTTTTTATTATTCATTTCTTTCAGTAAAACTGTAACATTTTCCCCACATTTGATGGGGAAACTGAGGCTCAGGGAGGTTATCTGCCCAAGGCCTGCAGTTAGTAAATGGCAGAGCTGGTATTCTAGTCCAGTTTCTATCGAAACTCTGTTCTTTATAATGTGCCTGAATGAATGCATTGATAGTTCATATGCATTGTTAAAGAACACAGTTTTGCGTGTTGCTAATTCTCTTTACAACACTGAGCTGTACATACTTTTTTAGTTTATAGTCCATTTACTATAGATAGTCAAGAAGGGGTGAAAAAGTTATTTTACATTTGTTGTTTAAGATACATAGACCCTTTCTTTATAATTAGAAGTGACTTTTCTTCTCTGTTAGGTGTCTGTCCCTAAAGAATTGGTGGCACTTATGAGCGCAATCCGCGATGGAGAAGCACATGACCCTGAAGACCCAAGCAGGAAAATATATAGATTCAGCCAAAAAGTAAGATAAAGTCAGAATGTCTAGATTTTGTTTTAGTTCATAGTGAACTTCAAAGAACCTATTTTAGTTTGCTTTTTTGTGGGGGTTGTTTTACATCTCCCTATAGCTCCAGTTGGCCTGGAACTCACTATGCAGACTAGTCTGGCCTTGAACTCATAGAGATCCATCCATGTCTGCCTCCCAAGTGCTGGGATTAAAGGCATGTGCCACCACACCCTGCCTTCTTGTTTGCTTTTCTGTTGTGATAAACACTAGAACCAAAACCAACATGGGGAGGAAAGGGTTTATTTCATCTTAGGTCATCACTGAGGAAAGCCAAGGCTGGAACATGGAGACAGAAACTGAAACAGAGACCAGGGAGGAATGCTGCTTACAAACTCACTAGTAGGCTCAAGTTCAGCTGCCTTTCTTATACAGCACAGGCCTACCTCCCTAGGGATGATACTGACCACAGTGGGCTGGCCCCTCCTACATCAATTAACAATCAAGAAAATGCCCCTCAGACATGCCCACAGGCCAATCTGATTGAGGAACGTCCTCAGCTGAGGTTCCCTCTTCTCAGATGTATCAAGTTGACAACTAATTAGCCTCTCAGAAGTATACCTCTTGTCACCTTTGACACACAAAATACATCACTGTTAAACCATAACCATTCCTTTCTTGTTTGTCACCAAGATCTCATGTTACTACTACAATATAAAACATAGTACAACTTTAAAAATTCCATCACTTAAAAATTCAATATCTTTAAAAATCCAGTGTCTCTTAAGGGCTCCTGTAAAATCCAAGATAAGTTCTCTACTTTCTAAATTCCAGGAAAAAAGAACCACAGCACAGTTATAGTCAGATCAAAGCAAAAGTAAAACCCAACAGTGTAAAAAGCTCAGTGTCTGACATCTGGGACTTATGATTTTTCTGGCTTCAGAAGCCTTGGGCAGCTCCACTTCTCTGGCTCTGCTACTCACACCATACACAGCTCGTCTCATGGTCTCAGGCTGTTTCCTCTCCACGTTTGCCTCTGTCCTTGGCAGAAGTCCTATGATCCTGACGTCTCCAGTATGCTGGGGTCTCCACTGCAAATGAAGCTACACCTTCACCAGTGGCCTCCTGGCCTCTCTGCAGGGACTCCCTGCTTACATGGTGTCAAGCATCCGCTTCTCTCCCTGACCCTTTCATTCCTGCAGCATTCATTCCACCAAAGCCAGAACTACGTGGAGCTATTTACACCTTACCACATTCAGCTGCCAGCTTGAGATGAAGCTTTAGTCCCTTCTGGACCACAGCTTCTGTGTGCTAACCCTGAGGAAATACAGAAGATTTGTCTCAGTGATACTGGTCTCTTATTAATCACAGTTGATTTTTCAGCCCCAACTAAGCAGTTTACATTGTCCCAATAAAGCAAAGACGGTTTCACTTCCAGACATTCTTAATTAAAATATATCAGACAGCTCTGTAGAGTTTGAGGGACTCTCAAACTTCCCCCTGAAATTCACAAGCCAGTCCTCCAATGTCTGCTTTTTACTCAACATTATTTTCCAATTTCCCACAACAGCTCATTAAGCTATGAGTGATAGCTTTCCAGCCCAAAACTCCAAAATCCTCCACCTTTCTTGACTTCACTGGACAATTCTGCTTCCTTTGGAGCCCCAAGCTGTCATAACTTGAGCATCCTCTTATTGCTGGTTTAAAATGTAAAGAAATTTAGAAAATAAAAAAATGTTTTAAAAGCTGACAGCCTTTCAGACAACCCTTCAGCTGGGCATGATGGTGCACGCCTTTAATCCCAGCACCCAGGAGACAGAGGCAGGCAGATCTCTGTGAGATGGAGGCCAGCCTGGGCAACATAAGTGAGTTCTAGGCCAGCTGGGGCTACAGGGAGGCCCTGTCTCAAAAGAAAAGAAAAAAACAAAACAAAAAACAACCAACTTTCCAAAAATCTCAGGAAAAAGCAGCTGTCTTTTCCAGTTACTTTTTAAGAAATGCTTTGTAAACCTTTTTAAATTGTGTAATCATGGCTTTGACATTTCAGAAGACTTCCCTTTTTGTGGAATAAGAAGAAAATAGATGTTTTGAGTGTTTTTTGCATACTTTTTGCATATTTTGAACTGTTGAATCTCTTAAAAGATAGGTCTATTTGAGAAGGACCAAAGCAATGTAGGTTCATAGCAATATTTGAGATTTAAAGGTGAATTTGTTGAATTTTAAACCTGAACTGTGTGATCCGGTACCAGTTCTCCACACTAACACATCATGTGGTGTGTGTGTGTTTGTCCCTTCTAGGTTCCCATACCTTGCTACCTGATCGCTTTAGTTGTTGGAGCTTTAGAAAGCAGGTGAGCTCTTGCAGAAATTTTGAGGTTTGTAAAAATGAAATAGACAAGTTGGACCTCTGTCAGGGTTGATGATGGCGGGGGTGGGGGTGGGTAGATCACTGTGTATTTCTCAGGCTGTCAAGCTGAAAGCTTTAGAGAAATTCTAATATAAATATAAATTTTTATAGGCAAGAAATTGACTTTAAAAATATCTACCACTTGCTCCTCAGATTTTCCAAATGTAGAATGTAAAATGCTCTTACCTTTAGGCTGAGATCTGAACTCTAATATAAGCTTCAGTACTTCTCATAATCTTCATTTTCCCATCTTTGAAATGATAAAATCTGCCTCTCTTCCTCAAGTGTAGCTGTGAAACAGATCAAATGTATTAAAGCCCTTGGAAGCCTTTAAATAATACAGAGATATATTTTGTTAAAATTTTACCAATGTCTTGAGTGCCCTTCCTTCCCTTTTGTTTGTTCTTACTTCTGTTTTTAATGCGCATGTGTGTATGTGTGTGCAGGTGCTTGTGTGTGTGTGTGTGTGTGTGTGTGTGTGTGTGTGTGTGTGTGTAGGGTGGGTGGGTAGGTGGGAGGGGTATATGTGTGTATAAGTGTGGACATCAGAGAACAACCTTATGTGTCATCCTCAGGGATGCCATCCACCTCCTATGAGACAGGGTCTCTTAATTGGCTTAGTTCACCACCAATTAGGCCTGACTGACAGACCATCAGGTCCCATGGATCCACCAGTCTTCACCTTCCCAGCAGTGCGATTACATGCTCACAGCACCATGCTTGGCTTTTAAAAAAATTATTTAATATTTTTATTTTATGTGTTGCATGTATTGCCTGCACATATGGAAGTGCACCTGTGTTGTGCAATGCCCGTGGAGGTCAGAAGAGGGCATTGGGTCCCCTAGAACTGGAGTTACGGACAGTTGTTAGCTGCCATGTGGGTGCTGGGATCTGAACCTGGGTCTTCTGCAAAAACAGTCAGTGTTCTTCACCACTGAGCCATCTCTCCAGCCCCTATGCTTGGCATTTTTATGTGGGTTCTCAAATCAAACTCAGGACCTTGTGCTTGCAGGGCACATATTTTGCTGACTGAGCTCCCTGACCCCAGCCCTGTTCTTATTTCTAAACTATTGAAAATTAAGAATGTTTATAGTAACCGCAGTCTTTATTTTGCTAAAAATGTGGATGCAGTAGAGAAGTCAGGCAGTCTAGAGCTGGGTTCCAGCTCTGTTGGTTACTAACTACATCTTTGGGAGCTCACTGCGCTGAGTTTTGTTTCGTTAACCTGGAAAAGAGAAATAATACATCAAAGGGCTTTTTGAAGGATTAATTGACCTAACATACATAAAGTTTCTGGCCTGCAGGAGGCGCTCAGTAAATGATTATTACAATAATTGTAATTATCACAGCAGCTAATTAAAGCTCTTAGTATGTGCTAATTCTAGTGCACTTTTCTTGTTGAATCCACAACTCTCCAGTACCTATGATTATTCTTATTTTACCAAGAAGAAACAGATGCTCAGAGAGTTTCAGTAGCTTGCTCAGTCATACAGCTTAGAAATGTCCAAACTAGGTGATCTTTGTCTTCTTTCCTTTGAGCCCTTGTAGAATAGATCTGTGCTGCCCATAACTGGTTACACGAGGCTCTTGAGCATTAGAAGTGCAGCTCATCCAAACTGAGATATGCTCTAAACAAAAATACAGACTGGATTTCTGAAGACTGATGAAAAATGTAACATACGTCATTAATAATTTTTATACTATGTGTTAACATTTTGGATCTACTGGGACAAATAAATGTTATTGAAATTAATTTGTTTCGTTTGCTTTAAAAAATTTGCCTACCAGCACTTTCAAATTACATCATAGCATGCTTTTGTGACTCTTACTAACTTATGTTGAATAATACTCAGAGCTTGGTCTGCAGACTATAACTTGGGAGTTCATTGGCAATGCAAATTCTAGGTAAAGGCACTTGCAGACAAGCTTCAGTTTGATCCCTGAAGCTCACATAAAAGTGAATAGAGAAATCCAATGCCACAGGACTGTCCTCTGACCTTGACAAGTATACCGTGATCCCATCACCACCACTACACACATCATGCATACACATACACAATAATACAATTTTTTAAGTTTTTTAAAAAGAGAAATACAAATTCTTGGGCCCTGTCCTGAGCCTTCTAAACCAAAATAATATTTTAATGAGCTTTCCAGATGCTTTGTCTGCAGTAGTAAATGTCTAGACAATAAAGTTTGAGAAGGGTACTGTGTCTGGGGCAGAATACCAAAGCAAAATCTTGTTTAGGGTCACATAAAAATTTCAAGGTGAAGTGATGATACTTGTATTTGTCTTTTTGTTGTTTTAATGAAAAACACAGATTTTATAGATGGTTATTAGCTGCCATGTGGGTGCTGAGAATTGAACCCAGGTCCTCTGCAAGAGCAACCAGTGCTCTTAACCACTGAGCAATCTCTCCAGCCCTATCTTAGTCATTTTTAAGTGGTATTCTGTAATGTTAAATATACAGCTACCTTGCTTGTGAAACAGATCTGCCAAACTTCATCCTGTAGAACCGAATCCTTGAGCAAGCATCTCCTCTTCCCCTCCCCTCAGCCCTTGGTAACCATCATTCTGCTTTCTGTTCCTGTGGTCTGTCTGTGTTAGGAACTCCATATAAGTAGATCATAGTGTTTGCCTTTTACTGAACCCCTCATTTCACTTAGCATAATGTACATGAGGTTTTCTATTTTAGTATGTGACAGAATTTCTTGCCTTTTCCATTTATTTCTTACACGAGTATCCAACTTTTAAATGAAAAACAAAGTTTGTATCTAGCCCTTTTCCAGGATAATCTTATTCAGTCTCTGACTGGGTTTCTACAGTTAGCCAATTGAGAGAGGAAGCTCTATCCCACAGGTCTTACTAGGGCCAGGAAGCTAACATCTGGGGCACTTCGTGCCTTGGTTTTCCCTTTACCAGACTGTGCCTCCGTTAAGAGCTTCAGTATGTTTAGAAGCAGGTTTGTATCTCAAGCCATTTAGCCTCATCCCTTCCCCATGAGCACACAGTACATCCAGTCTTACTTTCAAAGGGTTTGACTTTACAAGATGTTAAGTCCTTCTTAGAGCCAGGTGAATAATTTGCCTTGAATTTTTTTTTTTATGAAACTTTTTGACTTTGCAGGCAAATTGGCCCAAGAACCTTGGTGTGGTCTGAGAAAGAGCAGGTGGAAAAGTCTGCTTATGAATTTTCTGAGGTTGGTCATATAATTGTCTTTTCTAATAATTATGACAGGCAATTTAAGGATTTGAGAGTAATGTGATGGCTTTGAGTAATAGGTAAAAACATTACAAGCATGTGTTGTGTCAGTTTGAGTTGCTACATTTATTTTATTATTTTCATTTTAAATAAGCATCCTTGACTCATAACCTTTATAGAAAGCAGTAAGCACTTTGAAGAAATTGCTATTGTAATAATAATTAAGAGGCGATATATATGCATTAATTTTTCAGACTGAGTCTATGCTTAAGATTGCAGAAGACCTGGGAGGGCCATATGTATGGGGGCAGTACGACCTGTTGGTTCTGCCCCCATCCTTCCCTTACGGTGGCATGGAGAACCCTTGCCTTACTTTCGTAACTCCTACTCTACTGGTAAGTGTAAATATTTCTTCATGTGAAATGGAGATCTAAAACTAACCTAATGAGAGGCTACAGTAATAGCTCAGTGGATTGCTATTGTGAGGACTTGAGTTTGGTCTCTTAGAACCCACAGGAAAAACTAGCATAGTGGTATACACTTGTAATCCCAGTGCTGCTGGAGAGATGGAGACAGGCAGATCCTTGAGGCCCCCTGCCAATCACCCTAGCCTACGAGGTGTGCTCCCGGCCAGAGAGAGGGATGCCATCTCAAAATCCAAGGTAGACAGTTCCTGGGGTAATGACAACTAAGGTTGTCCTCTGGTTCCTCTGTGTGCATGCACACATATGCACGTGCTCCCACATGAATACACACACACACACACACACACACACACACACACACAGAAGGGAAGAGCTTTAGACTCTTAGTGATATTTTTAAAATGTATTTCTCAAAAATAAATATTTATCCTATTTCAAATTTTATTGCTGATTGTGATGATCAAAATTTCATTTTTCAAAAGAAAATGATTTGGCCATAGTAGAAAGTGAATATTGTGTTCAGGGTATTTTGGAATGTTGAGGATTAGGGTGCCATGTAACAACAACCCTTTGATGAATCACATATCCAGGCAAGGAAACCACAACATTTATAGTTGGAAGTCAGGTACCCAGTGTATAGGAGATAAGGCTACAGTATATTGCTGTTCTGTAAACCCCATAAATACTTTGGATCCTTCCGAGAATCAAGTAATGGATTAGCCGTCAGGTAAATAAAAAGGAATATACCATAGGACACATTGACCACTATAAACTTTAGTACATTGTAAATGATAGGAGGGGTAGGTCTGGGGATATGGCTCAGCACTTAAAGTCCCTATGTGAGGACCGGAGTTTCCATCGCAGAGGGCCTAGTGGGCCACCTGTAATTCTAGCTTCAGAAGGTGGAGATGGAATCCCTAGAGCACCTGGTTAGCAGACTAGCCCCATCAGTAGCTCTGGGTTAGATTGAGAGACCCTGCCTAATGAAGAAGATGAAGGAGTGATCCAGAATGACGCCCAACATTAACTTCAGGCCTCCACATGCATGCTACCCACACACATGAGCCCACATACATACATACCACACACACACACACACACACACACAGACACACCTGAGAGGAAGTGGTAAGACCAGATATTCAAAATGAAAGTAGGGAAGTGTTTTCTGGAATTAGAGAGAGGTCTGTTGGCCTACAGTATTGAAATATTTTCTGTGGTCAGGGGAGGAAAGAATGCTCTTTTTGTGTTCTCAATCCATATCTCTTTTGAGCCCTTTGAAACACCATAGTAGAAATGCAGTGGGCCATCAGGCCAATGTGTGACATGTGGGGATCAGTATTATTTAGCTGCAGCCTCTAACCCACGATGGAAATACTAAGATGTTTTCTTTTTTGCAGGCAGGTGATAAGTCACTCTCCAATGTAAGTTAAAATTTTTTATTACAGCCTTACCCTCAAGAAGGTTTAAGTAATTAAAAAATATCTGTTACATTATTATGTAAAAGAAAACTAGGGGGTCCTCTTCATACTACTTTAATAATTAGATTTAATAACCTTAAGAAAAATTTGAAATGTAAATGATATATGATCATAAAAATTGATATCATTTCATGTTTATGAAATATTTTAATGAACCAACATATTCATTTACTTTAATATTTTCTATTTTTTCTTGGTAATTGTTTCTAATCTTTTAAAGTATTTCTACTTTTTTGGTCTTTGATTAAATTATATTTTTTTCCTGAAATAAGTAATTCCCTGAATATATTTTTGAAAACATTGCGCTGTGTGTAGTGGGAAGAGGATAAGCGTTTCAGTGAGGGCTTGTTTTAGGTGAGGAGCTTGATCTGATACTAATTGCTTAACGCTGTCCTCTTCAGGTTATCGCACACGAGATATCTCATAGCTGGACAGGAAACCTAGTGACTAACAAAACTTGGGATCACTTTTGGTATGATGTTTTTTATCATTTCTTTATTGGTTATTATTGATTGGTTTCTTTGCCTGCTCCCCACCATTACTATATCACCACTCTGTGTTCTATGTGTATGTTTTTCTTATAGTCACTTTGGTATGTGGGGTTTTAAAGAATTCTGTAACACACGTCACAGTGTTTGTTAGCTACAGTGTAAGTGTGCAGTTTGCTTTGGCTAGTTTCGACACATGGGCCTGTTTGGTCTCCGTGCTGCCATCTGCTGGGCTGGGATGCCATTGCTCTGAGTTGACTGCCTGGGAGTCACGTAGGCATGATGTGGTTGTTGTCTATCGTGTCTTGTTGCTACCCTCTTCCATGGGAAGACCAAAAAGAAAATATCTGGTTGATTAAAAAGCTTTGTTCTCTCAGCTGGGATGGTACCTTATTATTAATTTTTTTTATCCTTTTTCAGGTTAAACGAAGGACATACTGTGTATTTAGAGCGCCACATTTGTGGACGGTTATTTGGTGAGAAGTTCAGGCATTTCCATGCTCTGGGAGGCTGGGGAGAACTTCAGAATACGGTAAATAAGTTGAGATTTTTTTTTTTTTTTTTTTTTTTTTTTTTTTTTTGTGAGACAGGGGCTCCTGTAGCCCTTTTTTTTTTTTTTTTAAGTAGGAGCCCT